GGTAAATATTTGTTTGTTCTTATTGTGAATGATAGCTTTAATTATCAAATGATGAATTCTCCTTGAAATATATCTATATTGGAGAATATGGAAATGTAGCTGAATTATGGCTTAAAAGTAGTTGATTAATGATTCAAACATTATTGAAATTGCTGGTTAAGCAAACATACCCAGAGGGTGCTCACCAATGCTTCTTCTTCATCCTGGAAAGACGTGACGAGTGGAGTGCCACAGGGTTCCATCCTAGGCCTGGTCCTGTTCAACATCTTTATTAATGACTTAGATCAGGCATCCTCAAACTGCAGCCCTCCAGCTGTTGGGCCTCCAACTCCCAGAAGCCCTAACAAGGTTGTTCAGTTGTCAGGAATTCTGGGAGTTGAAGGCCCAAACAGCTGGAGGGCTGCAGTTTGAGGATGCCTGACTCAGATGAAGGCTTAGAAGGCATGATCATCAAGTTTGCAGATGACACCAAATTGGGAGAGATAGCTAATACTCCAGAAGGCAAGATCAGAATTCAAAACAATCTTAACAGATTAGAGAGATGATTGGCCAAAACTAATAAAATGAAGTTCAACAGTGACAAATGCAAGATACTCTACTTAGACAGAAAAAATGAAATGCAAAGATACAGAATGGGGGACACCTGGCTTGGCCAGCAGTACATGTGAAAAAGATCTTGGAGTTAAACACGAGCCTTTCCTCTTTCCTCCCTCCTTCCCTTTCTTCCTTTCATCCTCACCTTCCACCCTTTCGTACTTCCTTCCTCCCTCCCCTCCCTCCTCCTTCCTCCCCTCTCTTCCTCTTTCTCCTTCCTTCCTTCCTTCCTTCCTTCCTTCCTTCCTTCCTTCCTTCCGTCCGTCCGTCCATCCATCTTTCTTTCTTTCCTTCTCTCTTTCCTCCCTCCCTCCACTACCTCCCGCCCTTCCATCCTTTTCTTCCTCCCTCTCTTCTCTTTTTCCTTCCTCCTTTCCTCCTGGGGGATGTTCAGCTGAGAGAAGAGAAGGTAGAGAGGGGAGATGAGAACCCTTTAGTCCTTCCTTCCCTCCCTCTTTCCTCCCTCCTCCCTCTTTCTCCTTCCCTTCCTTCCTTCCTTTTTGTCTTTCCTTCCTTCTCTCTTTCCTCCCTCCTTCCATTCCCTCCCTCCCTTCCATCCTTCTCTTCCTCCCTTCTTTTTTTCCTTCCTCCTTTCCTCCTGGGGGATGTTTAGCTGGCAGAAGAGAAGGTAGACAGGGGACATGAGAACCATGTTTCAAGATTTAAAAGGGTGTCCATTAAGGAACGGAGTTGGGGAGGGCACTGATTTTCTGCTGCTCTAGATACCAGGGAACAAGGGAGCAATGGGTTCAAATGGCAGGGAAAGAGATTCCACTGAAAAGATTAGGAAGAACTTCCTGGAGAGTGGCATAGGCTGCCTTGGAGTGTGGTGGTGTCTCCTTCTCTGGAGGCTTTTCCGCAGAGACTGTCTATCGGGAGTGCTTTGATTGTGCCTTCATGGCAGGGGGTTGGACTGGATGGCCCTTGGAGTCCCTTCCAACTCTAGGATTCTAGAATTCTATATCAGGAGTAGGCAATAAGGGGTCTAATGGATACACTTTTTCTCTCCCATCCACCATCTCATCCTGACCAAGACCAACCTTTTTGGGATCCAAACGTCTTTCCTTCACTTTCTGTCTCCAAAAGAGATGAGGAAGGGGAGGAAAGGGCAGAGAGGTGACTTGGGGAGAACCCCGCTCCAGTCTGTCATGTGGCCCCAAGTTAGAAAGTTTGCCCATGCCTGCTTTAGACTATTTAGACTGCAGTTGGTTATACATATATATTTAAATACTTGTATCAGGAGGCAGATCTTCATTAGGATATCCATTTAGCCCTGATTCAGCACAACCAGTGACGTGGGTCTTGGGAATAGAGCTATGACTCGACTATGCCCAAATCAATGTGGTTAGGCTTATTTATTTCAACAGGGAGTGCATTAGATTTCCTTGTATTGCCCCAGCTAGTCACATGCAACTACACCTGAGAGGAGTTGGAGTGGTCACAGGAGTTGGAGGCCAAACTTGTTTACCTGATGACCTAACTCAAAATGCCTATGAATAGGCTTGGAACTGGGTCTCAGCAGGTCCCATGGCTCTGGCACCAGATGATGTTGCTTTTGCATTCCAATCTCAGCTCTTCGTGTTGCTGCCTTTTCAAACAAAAGACCTTCCAGCCTTCACGCTGAAGTGGAGACAAGGACCCATATTCTGTTTATAGTGGAAACATTGGACACAGTCACATGGTCCCAAGCTGGGCTGTGGGCCCAGAGCTTTGGAGAGACAGGTTAAAAACTTCCCCATTCCACCAAGATGGATACGTCTTTTGTTCCTTTCGACCAACAATAAGAGGCTTTGACCCTCTTTCTATTTTTTGAGGGGAGGGGAGGACTTGGCAGGATAAGTGGCTGTTTTGGTCTTGGAGCTGTTGCTGGCTCAAGATGGCAAAGGATAAAGACTTGCTTTTTTGGCTCTGAATAAAAGGTCAGCCCCACTGGGAGGAAGCCTCTGATAGAAAACAGTTCTGTCAGGGGAATTCTGCTTAGGGAACGCCTTGTAAATCCCTTCTGTAGGTGCATATTCTGGAGCCCCTAATACTGTTTCTTAAACTAGGGGTTGGGACCCCTGGGGGGGGGGGTCGCCAGGGGGTGTCAGAGGAGTTGTCAAAATCATCAGAAAACACACTATTTTCTCTTAGTTATGGGGGTTTTGTGTGCAAAGTTTGGCCCAATTCTATCATTGGTGGGGTTCAGAATGCTCTTTGATGGTAGGTGAACTATACATCCCAGCAACTACAACTCCCAAATGCCGTGGTCTATTTTTCCCAAACTCCACCAGTGTCCACATTTGGGCATAGTCAGTATTTGTGCCAAGTTTGGTCTAGATCCATCAATGTTCGAGCCCACAGTGCTCTCTGGATGTAGGTGAACTACAACTCCCGAACTCAAGGTCAATGCCCGCCAAACCCTTCCAGTATTTTCTGTTGGTCATGGGAGTGCTGTGTGCCAAGTTTGGTTCAATTTCATCATTGGTGGTGTTCAGAATGCTCTTTGATTGTAGATTAACTATAAATCCCAGAAACTACAACTCCCAAATGACAAAATTAATCTGCCCCAACCCCACCAGTATTCATATTTGGGCAAATTTGGTTCAGTTAATATCAGATATTTACATTACGATTCATAACAGTAGCAAAATAATAGTTATGATGTTGCAACAAAATTAATGTTATGTTTGGGAGTCACCACAACATGAGGAACCGTATTTAGGGGTCGCGGCACTGCTCTAATACATAATCCTTTCTCAGAATCTGCTGCTTTGTTATGTGGAATGGGAGCAGAATTCTGGATGTTTTCTGCTTTTTAGAACACTCACTTGCTTTGTGGTAATAGTGTGCCTTCAAGCTGACTCTGATTTATGGCAACTCTATCCTACTTTTTTTCTTGGAAAGATTTATTCCCAGGAAGCTTAGCAATGCTTTCCTCTAAGGTTAAGGCTATGACTTGCCTAAGATTAGAGTTTGGACTTCAGTGGGATAAGGGAGGATTTGAACAATCCTAGTCCCACATGTAAACCAGAACAAAATAAAAATCACTGCATGTAGTTTGTTCCTCTCTCTCTCTCTCTCCATTTTCTGTATATAGGGAAATATATATGGAAAGCATTTTAAAAAGACCTCAACCCATCCACTTCTAAAATTCACCAAATTTCAGTATATTATCATTCTTGTTTATGTCTGTATGGCGATGTTCCAGAAGCATTCCCTCCTGACATTTTGCCCACATCTATGGCAGCTTTCTGCCTAGGGAAATCCTTTGTTGGGAGATGTTAGCAGGTCCTGATTGTTTCCTGACTGGAATTCCCCTGTTTTGTTTTGTTTTTAGTTGCTCTTTATTTACTTTCCTGATTTTGGATTTTTTTTAAAAAATACTGGTAGCCAGATTTTCTTCATTTTCATGGTTACCTCCTTTCTGTTGAAATTGTCCACGTTTGTGGATTTCAGTGGCTTCTCTGTGTAGTCTGACATAGTGATTGTTAGAGTGGTCCAGAATTTCTGTGTTCTCAAATAATATGCTGTGTACAGGTTGGTTCATCAAGTGCTCTACGATAGCTGACATCTCTTTTTGAAGTAGTCTGCAGTTCCACAGATATATAAACCCCACTTGACCTAGTTTCCAACAGACTTCACCACCTCTAAAGAGGCTTGACATAAATGTGGGTGAAACATCAGGAGAATATGCTTCTGGAACATGGCCATACAGCCCAGAAGCATATTCTCCAGCAACCCAGGAAAGTAGTTACTTCAACTCTCAATTTGGAGGCATAATAAAGCATTCTGTGATGAAACTATTCAGGGCTCTCCTTAAGTGATATTATTTTTTCTTATCTCTGTAGTAATGTCAACACTTAATGTTTTTTTTTCTTGTCAGGAGTGACTTGAGAAACTTCAAGTCGCTTCTGGTGTGAGATTATTGGCCATCTGTAAGGACGTTGCCCAGGGGATGCCTGGATGTTTTGATGTTTTTACCGTCCTTGAGGGAGGTTTCCTCTCATGTCCCCATAAGGGGAGCTGGAGCTGACAGAGGGAGCTCAACTCGTTTTCCCCAGATTCAAACAAGGGTTCAACCCAGTGGTTCTTAACCTGTGGGTCCCCAGGTGTTTTGGCCTACAATTCCCAGAAATCACAGATGTTAGGATTTCTGGGAGTTGAACCTGGGGACCCATAGGTTGAGAACCACTAGTTTAACCCATTGTGCCACTGGGGTTATGCTTAGAAGATGTTACGTATTTGGTAAGAAGTCAGATTGTGGCAGCTCATCAATGACCCAACTAAGGGACCAATGGGAATTTGGTAAATCAACTTCCCGTGGATTCAACAAGGCTACTTGAGTTGGAACTAGCAATTTGATATAAGTTCCTTATATTTATTTATTATCACAATCATATGAAAGAAAAAGAAGCAAAAACTCGTTCCTCTCTAGAGACTTTATTGTTAAGAGTTGGGATTCACCATCCACGGCTCTGGGGGGGAATAAAACAGAGCTCACACATTCTCAAACACAACAGGATCCCATGATATGCGGGAGTCAAAATTCCATTTCAAACAATGCCCCTCCGTCCAGGAAACTGAGCTATCAACACCCAGTTCCTATTCAGAGTCAACAAGGAAGTAACGCGACTTTCCAATGGACCATGATATTCCATGCTTGAGAAAGTGATGTGGGATCACTCCAAAGTTTACATGCAGAATACCTTCCTTTATAGCTGGTCCAGAGAAAATATATTACCTTGTTTTGAATCCCTTGTTCTTTTGAGATCAACATGGCAAACACTATCTAAACATTTTTTTAATACAGCCAGTAACATTCAGAGAACTGATACAGTTGGAATCCCGTTTACAGAAAAAGCTGATGCAAGTGCACCCTCCACGACACCATGAGAGCCCTGCTCAAAGCCAGAAGCTGGAGCCCATTACAGTCAGCGCATGTTGTGAAATTCACGGCTGATGACGGTCGGAGTCTCCTCCACACATCTCATTACACGAAGCCAGTATATAATCATACAGACCGTTGCCTGCTATGCTGGCACAGTTGCGACAAGACAAACCGTCTCAAGCCACGAGCCTTTCTCCCACCCTGGCCTTCCTCCAAGAGGAACGATCCCACCCTCCCCGATACCCCCCAACTCCCCAATTTCACCCTCACCCAGCCTCCTAAATGCCCCTAATCACCCAAATCACTCGCTGTCTTAGCAGGAACTGTACATGCACACCACAAAGCGGCTACCATCTATGACAGGTTAGTTTCACTAGGGGCGGGGAGAGGAAGGAGAACGAATCGGAAATGCAGCCCTTGGTTACGGAGGAATATATGCATGGAAGAGGAGAAAGAAATTCCAAATAGGGGTGAAATGGAGGGTCAGTGTCTTTCAACGCAAGAGTGCAGAGATTGTCTTAACCCTGAGAAGGAACTAGAACCTTCTAGTATAGGCCGAATGATGGAAGACGTGGAAAATGAGACCAAAACAGGTCTGAGGATACAAAGGTATGGTGAGGATGGGGTGCAGGATGACGACAACTCCCGTTTCAGGAGCACGATGTCGGCACGACAGTAGCAATGCAAGTGCTCTCAGGGGCTTGTGCGTCTCTCGTGTGAGATTCTGTTTTTGGCTATGTACATTCCAGAGGGGGACAAAGAGAGCGATAAGCAAGGCAATCCAATGCCCATCCAGGCTACTCCAAAGAACTCCAGGCTACTCACTCGGAATTCAAGAGGGAGGAACAATGGTTAGTTACGACTTGGACAGAAAACAAAAAACCCAACAATATAATCCAAATCTCCCTTTGTTAAGAAAACTAACTGTGCAAATAGGGATGGAGGAGAAATTCAAAATAAGTGCTTGGGAGGGCCTAACAGTTTAGACAATTTTATAGTACTCAACCCATATCTCTTTAGGTGCTGAGGGTCCCTAAAGAATCTGGAGACTGACTCTAGTTTTAGGTTACGAGAGAGAGAGAGAAGCAGACAGGGTTGGCGAGGGAGGTGCGTATGTGTTGGGTGAGAAGGATGGGATGGGAGGGGGTGGAGTTAATGTTTGTTTTAAAAAGTGTAAAACTGCATCCCATCTGGGCCTCCCTGGATGTTTAGTACCGTTAGGGGAGATCATCGCATGGCCCAGTGGCCGGAGTGCACTGTGGGATAGCAGAAGTCCTGTTCAGAGGTGGGAGGCGGTCTTGTCCTCTGGCCCGGCGCTCAGCAGGACACCTCCATGGTGGGGGCCGGGGGCTGCGGTCCCCCCGCCTCGCTGCTCTGGGACAGGGTGCGCGAGCGGGAGCGGTTCCCGTCCCCCGAGGCGGCGCTGGACAGAGAGGCGGTGCGTGAGCGAGACAGGCGGGTCATGCAGGACGAAGCCACTGTGGGAAGGAGGAAAGAGTCCGAGTCAGATAAACCCTTTTGCAAGCGCTATAGTCCATTCTCAAAGACTGGGTTGCTGTGCGTTTTCTGGGCTGTATGGCCATATTCCAGAAGCATTCTCTCCTGCCGTTTCGCCTACATCTATGGCAGGCATCCTCAGAGGGTGAAGATTTTCCAGGCTGTATGGCCATGTTCCAGAAGTATTCTTTCCTGATGTTTTGCCCAAATCTATGGCAGGCATCTTCAGAGAGGTTGAGGGGTCTGTTGGAAACTACGACAAGTGAGGTTTATTAATCTGTGGAATGTCCGGGGTGGGAGAAAGAACTCGTCTGCTTGAGGCAAGCATGAATGGTGCAATCGACCACTTTGATTACTACTGAATAGCCTTGCAGCTTCAAAGCCTGGCTAGTTGCTGCCTGGGGGAATCCTTTGTTGGGAGATATTAGCTGACCCTGGAATTCCCCTGCTTATTGAGTGTTGCTGTTTGTTTACTATCCTTATTTTAGACTTTTTAAAAATACTGGTAACCAGATTTTGCTCATTTTCATGGTTTCCTCCTTTCTATTGAAATTGTCCACATGCCTGTGGATTTCAATGGCTTCTCTGACTTGGTGGTTGTTAAGAGTGGTCCAGCATTTCTGTGTTCTCAAATAATATGCTGTGTCCGGGTTGGTTCATGAGGTGCTCAGCTATGGCTGACTTCTCTGGTCAAACTAGTCTGCAGTGCCTTTCATGTTTCTTGATTTGTGTTTGGGTGCGAATCAAGAAACATGAAATCAGGACAGTAAATAAACACCACCACTAAAAAATCCAGGGAATTCCAGACAAGAATCAATCAGAGCCAGCTAACACCTCCCAGCAAAGGATCCCCCCAGGGAGCAATCAGCCAGCCTTTGAATCTACAATGCCATAGCAGAGCACTTGATGAACCAATCTGGACACAGCATATTATCTGAGAACACAGACATGCTGGACCATTCTAAAAACCACTATGTCAAACTACACAGAGAAGCCATTGAAATCCACAAGCATGTGGATAATTTCAACAGAATGGAAAATGAAAATGAACAAAATCTGGCTACCAGTATTATTTATTTATGTGTTTATTTATTTATTTGCATTATTTCTACCCCGCCCATATCAGCCCGAGGGCGACTCAGAGCTCCAAAATCATAAAATCATAAAGAACAACACTCAGAAAACAGGGAAAGTCCCATCAGGAAGCAGTCATGGCCAGCTATCCCCTCCCAACAAAGAATTCCCCAGGCAGGAAGCAGCCAGGTTTGAAGCTGCAAGGCTATTAAATGTGAATCAAGGTGGCCAATTGCAACATTCACACTTGCCTCAAGCAGACATGAGCTTTTTCTCCCACCTTGGGCATTCTACAGATATATAAACCTCACTTGCCTAGTTTCCAACAGACCTCACACCTCTGAGAATGTCTGCCATAGATGTGGGCGAAACGTCAGGAGAGAATGCTTCTGGAACACGGCCATACAGCCCGGAAAACTCACAGGAACCCAGTGATTCCAGCCATGAAAACCTTCAACAACACTTTCTCAAAGACTTGCTCAGTAGTGGACAAAGGATAGTGTAAGTGGTACTGTGAACATCAATGTCCGCAGACTCTCACTGCAAAATTTAGGGACAGCAAATGAGTGCAAAATAAAGGTGTGTTTTAACAAGGGAATTGTTTAGGGTTTCTTCAAATTGCCAACCCACTTGGATCCACCAAGCGAAGAAGGGGACCTGAGGATTAACCCAGGGCAAAAGCCTATGGAGATCTTCCCTGTAAATATGCCGAAAAGAAAGGACCACAAAGCATCCTCATGAGTTAAAGGTAATGCAAATTGTTTTGGTACAATGGGTAGTTATCTAGGTCTAATACAAGCATGGGCAAACTTCGGCCCTCCAGGTGTTTTGGACTTCAACTCCCACAATTCCTAACAGCCAGTACATTCTTAAGAATTTTGGAGCTGAAGTCCAAAACACCCAAAGGGCCGAAGTTTGCCCATGCCTGGTTCAACATCATGCCCACGTCTCAGCACTCATATCCATCATGCTTGCCAATGACACACCCAAGATGCATCCCATTCCTCCCCACTCCTAATATTCTGCAAAGTCACAAATCCCGAATTTAAGATGTAGGATGCAAAACCTACCATCTACACACTATTAGGTCATTTCCATAAAATGTTAATGATGTGAGCAATTTTATTTTGGAAGGCAAACCCAGGCTTCCGATGGTGCCGAGCCAGGAGCTGTATGAGATCATACAAAGGCCCGCCATCAGCCTTCGTGACGTAGGTGCACAACTAAAATCCAAATAAAAACACCGCAAACATCTATGTGTGTCATAATGCGGGGTTGTGCACACAGGAGTGAGGGAGTCACAGGAAAGGGGTGAGCAGACATGTTGAGGAGAGAGTGTGTCAAAAGGATTATGGGTGACGGGGAGGGGGAATTACCACAGAAGGTACCTGACCCCTGACTCAGTTTCTTGTCCAGTACATGAGGGACTGAGGAAAAACAGGAAAAGATACCTCAGTCTGGAATGGTGGGGAGTTCCTTGGGGATGAAAATTCACTACTGTTCAAGGATTTGGCCAGAGCTTTTGGAGGTCTTCGGGAATTTTGATGATAGAGGATGGGGTCTTAGGAAAGATGATGGGTCAGAGATACTCTTTGTGTTACAAGGGTTGAATGAAAAGTAATGCCTCCACCTTTGTAACTCCTCAACAAATGGGAGTACTGGTATGAGGAAGGTACTGGCTTGTTCAGTAGACTTTCCTCTACAGTTCCATTCTGGCAGGAAGCCTTAGCATTGAACGGTTGTATTGTTAAAGTGCAAAGTATGGAATTCTGTACAGATGGTAAGTCAATGCAACTTAAGCAACATGCAGTCATTGAAGGTGTCACCCCAAAGGAGATTCATCAGAGAATGCAAGCTGTTTATGGTGATTGTGTTGATGTGAGTACTGTGCGTCATTTGCATTCTCTGATGAATCTCCTTTGGGGTGACACCTTCTGCTGTCAAGAATTCAATGACTGCACGTTGCTTAAGTCGCATTGACCGACCGTCTGTGCAGGGTTCCATACTTTGCAATTTAACAACACAACTGTTCAATGCTAAGGCTTCCTGCCAAAATAGAACTGTAAAGGAGAGTCTACTGCACAAGCCAGTACTTGCCGCATACCGGTTCTGCCATCTGTTGAGGAGTTAAGAGGTGGAGGCATTACTTTTTATTCAACTCTCATACTACAAAGGATTTGGGGATGGTAGTGAGGATTATACTAACTGGATTCAAGGCTGATCTAAAGTAGATATTATTGCCACCATTACTTTTAGATTTCCCCTCTCCAAAAGCAAGAACCAAGAAGTTCTAAACTTTTGGGCACAATAAACTTTTGGGCACAATATTGTAGGTGGGTACAATAATCATGAGAACACAAAGGAATTTATACAGAGACATCTGTCTGTTTTGAGATATGTAAGTACTTCATCACACTAGAGATTGAATCCACTTTCAATTTGTTTTCTGCATCCTGCAGAATTCTGGGACTTGTAGTTTAGGGAGGAGCCTTTAACAGCCTCACTACAAACCCTAGAATTCTGCAGAAGGAAGACATCAGATTTAAAGTGGATTCATTCTCTAATGCGATGGAGATCCTAAAATGTACAGTTTTTTTATCGTGTCAGAAGTGACTTGGGAAACTACAAGTCGCTTCTGGTATGGAAGAATAGGCCGTCTGCAGAGACGTTGCGTAGGGATGCCCGGATGTGTTACCATCCTCTGGGAGGCTTCTCTCATGTCCCCACATGGGAAGCTGGAGATGATGGACAGGAGCTCACTCCATCTCACAGATTCGAACTGCCGATGTTCAGGTCAGCAGTTCAGTTAGTACAAGGGTTTAACCCTTTACACCACTGCGTCTCCATGTACAGCTTAACTCCACCAATAATGCAGGCCCTTCATGGGTTGTAGAAGGGAGAACAGAGTTTCAGAGACAATACTCACTGTATCCCATGCCTTGCACAAAGTACTTGAAAGCCTCAGTCAGTTTACCAGGCTGAAAAAAAGAGGAAGAGAGGAAAGAAAGAAGAGAGGAAAATATCACAATTGTGCATATATTGGAAGTGTAGGAGGCGAAAGAAAGGATAACAAAACCTTTCCAATTGTTTGTTCTGCTGTGTTTGCAAAATTTCCTCCCCCACACTCTTTCCAGGAACATAGACACAATGCAATTTTGGTTTTAAACTTTAAAGATCAAGTATTTTGATCCAATTTACCATATATACTCGAGTATAAGCCAAGTTTTTCAACTCTTTTTTAGGCTGAAGCCCCCTCCTCTCATTTTATACTCAAGTCAAAGTTATTTATTATTTTACTGGGTTATTATTATTTTTATTACATTTATTATTTTACTTTATTATTACTGTTGTTTTTATTACATTTCCATTATTTTACTCAATTATTATTATTATGTTATTTATTATTTTGCTCTCTTTATTATTATTGGAAGGATACATAAGCACTTTTACATTGAAGGTTAGAATAATGGTTTAATCAAAATTTGACAGTCTTATCTTAAATTACAGTTTTATGTAAATATTCAAAACTGATGCCTCAATTAATGGAATTTTATTGGTATCTATTTTTATTTTAAAATTTATCAGCTGATGCATTTCCCGCTCTTGGCTTATGCTCAAATCAATATGTTTTCCTAATTTTTTGAGGAAAAATTGTGTGCCCTGGTTTATATTTGGGTTGGCTTCTACTCGAGTATATTGGTAGTCCCTCTTTCTCCTTTTGTTTGTATTTTTTAAAAACAAAATAAAATATTCTGTTCCAAAATATCAAATCATCTCTGTTTTTACTGTCTTTCTTAGGAACTCACTTCAGGCTTCCAGTTTGAGAAGCACTCAATTTGGCCAGGAACAAAAAATAATAAGGGGGAATCCTGGACCCACCAAAATGGGCAGGGGCTTCCTACAAATTGCAAGCTACGTATTTCCCATGTCTGACCTGGCAGAAAAAGAAATGATGTTACAAACTATTTGTTCGCTTGTTATTTTAACAGCTTAAAAACATACAACCCAATAGTGTCTCAAACGTTCCTCTCGGGCCTTGGGTAATCTTACCTGGGTCAACTGTGGTTGTCCTCCTGAGTCTGCCATCTGAAAGGCAGAAAGAGAAGTCAAAATGGGCAGCACACAGCTGTTTTTTCTCTCTTTTTCTTTCTATTTAACTTATCTCTAGATGGTGTACTGGAATGATTGTTTGCAAGGCTGCAGATTCTATTAACTCAAAAGGAAATATAAATGATGAAAAGTGTTTGTGTGCATCTATGTGAGAAATATACCGATATAAAGAAAATCAACTCATTTGAGATGTGGTGCTGTAGGAGAATGGACTGGTAAAAACAAAAGTAAATTCCTGAACTTGAACGCTTCTAGTGCTTCATCACACTAGAGAATGAATCCACTTTAAATCCGGTTTCTGCCTCCTGCAGAATTCTGGGATTTGTAGTTTACTGAGGCTGTTAAAAGCTCCTCCCTAAACTATAAACTCCAGAATTCTGCAGGATGCAGCAACTGCATTTAAAGTGGATTCATTCTCTAGTGTGATGTGGTCCCTAGAAGCCAAGATGACTAATCCAAGGCTGTCATATTTTGGCCGTTTTATGAAAGAACATGACTCACTAGGAAAGGCAATAATCTAGGTCAAAGTAGAAGGCAGTAAGATAAGAGGAAGGTCGCATTGCAGGTGGATAAACTCAATTAATATTGGAAATAGCAATCTTCTGAAGCCTCCATTAGTTATTTGTTATGTATATAATTACTTACGTATGTGTGTATTGGTTTGCAATTTTACCTAACGTCTTTACTGTTGGAGGGGCTGCAGACCATGTGACGAGGTTTGAGCATGTTCAGGACCTGGGACACCATTTTAGATCAAAGGCAAATATATTTAAAATGGAGAATAGATGTTTTTGGGCACCTAAAGGGACACTTTTGAAACTCTGCTGAATATATATTTTTGTGCATTGGCATGCTCCTAACAGTTCAAAGACATACCTACATATATCAGTTTAACAGCTGAGAGACCTAGTTGACTTTCATGAATGCTGGTGAACATCATTTTTCAAAAGGCCGTGACTTCTAACAAGGTCATGCCTTTCCTGTGATCAGTGGTTTTTCAAAAAGGTTATGCATCTCATTTCCCAAATGGTTATGGAGATTTGCATTTCCCAAAAAATAAGGAAGCCATGTCTCTGAGTCTGTAAGAACTGGACAGGGCTATTGGGACAGGATAATGTCCTGCATTCATAGGATGGCATAAGTGCTGACTTGAAATTAGTAAACAACAACAAATGTGTATATGAAAGAGAGAGAACACAAGACAGAAAAGAATGGAGGCAGGGAAACAAATTGGGTGTGAAGGTTGCTCAATTTTGAACTCAGATAAAATCATAAAAGCTTCCAGTCTCTCAAAAAAGATATAAAGCACACAGTTTTCACTCCAACGGGCAAAAAGATATACAAAGTGAGTATTAAAAGAGAGGGGTTGACACCAAATAAAGTATCTATGGCAAGCATTAGGGATCATATAGCTGAAATTCTGGGGCTATTAGACCATATCTAAGAACTACTGACAGAAGTGTAGGAGGAAGAAGACAGGCAAAAAACAACGTTCAAGAATGAAAGGTTGAAGCAAGGCTAAAGGAAGTAAAGGGTTAGATCAGCCTTTCTCAACCTAGGGGTAGGGACCCCTGCGGGAGTCGTGAGTGGGTGTCAGAGGGGTCACCAAAGACAATCAGAATACACAGTATTTTTTTGTTGATCATGAGGGTTCTATATAGGAAATTTGGCCCAATTCTATTGGTGGGGTTCAGAAAGTTCTTTGATTGTAGGTGAACTACAAAACCCAGCAACTACAACTCACAAATGTCAAGTCTATCTTCCCAAACTCCACCAATGTTCACATTTGGGCATATTGAGTATCCGTGTCAAGTTTGGACCAGATCCATCATTGTTTGGGTCCAGAGTGCTCTCTGGATGTAAGTGAACTACAACTCCAAAACTCAAGGTCAGTGCCCACCAAACTCTTCCAGTATATTCTATTGGTCATGGGAGTTCTTTGTGCCAAGTCTGGTTCCATTCCATTGTTGGAGTTCAGAATGCTTTTTGTAGGTGAACTATAAATCCCAGCAACTTCAACTCCCAGATGATAAAAATCAACCCCCCTCCACAACACCACCAGTATTCAAATTTGGGCATATTGGGTATTTGTGCCAAATTTCACTCAGTGAATGAAAATAAATCCTGCATAACAGATATTTACATTACGATTAATAACAGTAGCAAAATTACAGTTGTGAAGTTGCAAGAAAAATAATTTTATGGTTGGGGGTCACCACAATATAAGGAACTGTATTAAGGGGTCGCAGCATTAGGAAGGATGAGAAACACTGGGTTAGATGGACAGGTTATCCTTTGGACGATTGTGAGAGGCACTACATACCTTGAGGAAAGAAGTCTGGGTTGGATCCAATTTGGAATTGCACTCCACCTGTTAGGAAAGAGACTGTATGAGGATCAAGAAAAATGTGCAGTGAGAGAGGCTGTGTCTTCTGTTAAACTGGAAAATAGAGTATTGGTAGCTCAGCAAGAGAGGAAGCCCAGGGCAATTCAATTCTGCAGAGCTTTTATTTTTTAACACTCACCACTGCATCTTCATGGGGTGCTTGATCTCCCACCACTAACATCACAGGACACCTGCCAGCATGAACAGGAGGGGGGAAAAGGAGACAGAAGGAGAAATCTGTTTAACAATGCAACTCAACTCTCCAAGTCAACTGCCTTAAAGTTAGGATTTTGAAGCCTAATCATAGTTATCTTGATACCCATCCTCGATGTTTACCTCCTTTTAACAGGGTATAGTTTATAGATGTTTATGAAGTAGTACTTGGATTAGCTTTTCAGGTGTGATGACTTTTTCCCCTTCATTTTTCCAAAGGGTTGAGTGGAGGCGGAATAGGGAACTTTAGCCATTAAATAAACACCAAGAGGGAGAAAGGCAGTTAGTGGCTCCATCTATGCTGCTATTTCTATCTCTGCTGACTTTTTCTGCATATTCTGTGAGTGAGCCATTATAGTTCACAGTAATGTCGGGGGTGCTTTGAATGTGATTCTCCTGCTTCTTGGCAGGGGTTGGACTGGATGGCCCATGAGGTCTCTTCCAACTCTATGATTCTATGAATTCCTCACACAGAACAGGATCTAGAAAAGCCAGGGCTGCTCTGCCTACAGTGCCTGCCAGAAAGGGAGACCTGGCAGTTACCCCAATCCGACTTGCTGCATCAGCTGGGCCCAGTCATTTTGCAACAAGCGCTTCCTGAGGTTGCTCAGCAACCCTTGCATGCTTTCAATCCTCTCGTCCTGCGAGGTCAGCACAACCTGGCTCCACAGGCAAGATGCCAGGGATGTCAAACTTGGAAGAGTCCAGATTTTGCTCTGAAACCCCGCAACATGGAGAAACACGGTCAAAAGAAAATCACAGCCAACACCTCAACAGGAACAGAGTTTTCTTTGTTGCTCTGATCACTACAAATAGAAATATGTTGGAGGTAGCACTTCTGCGACCTACATTTTAGGCACTAAGTATGTAAGAAGCAACACCAATCTTTTGCCTTGAGTACCTTTACAGAACTAAGTTCTTGTGGGGGTTTTTTGGCTATATGGCCATGTTCTAGAGGCATTTCTCCTGACGTTTCGCCTGCATCTATGGCAAGCTTCCTCAGAGGTGAGGTCTGAGGTGAGGCCATTGTGAGAAATGGCACTTGGAATGCTCTAGAACATGGTCATATAGCCCAAAAAAACCCACAAGAACTGAGTGATTCCGGCCATGAAAGCCTTCGATCTTTACAGAACTTTCTGTACACTGTATAGTATTCTCCCTAAAAGCCAATATGACTAAACTGAGACTGTCATACTCTGTACATATCTTGGAAGACATAACTAACTAGAAAGGACAATAATGCTTGGTAAGGTCAAGGGAAGTAAGAAAAGTTGGAACACTGATTTCCAGATGGATAGATGCAATCAGGAGTCTGCAAGAACTGAGAGAGGTGATTTGGAAATCTCTCATTCATTGGGTCACCTTAAGTATTTCAACTTAAGGTGACCCAATGAATGAGAGATTTCCAAGTCAACTTGAAGGCAGTTAACATTAACAAACTTTATAGCGTGAGTTGGCCCAGACCACCCTAAACTTGGCAGAAGAACCAGGCTTGCATCCAAGTCCTAGAGAGACAAAAGCTTCTTTTCCCCTTTCCTCTACATTCCAACAGCATTGCTGCTGTGACCTTGAGAGTGCAGATAATTTTGTGTAACCTATCAGTTTTTTAATATACATCCATCCATATATATAAGAACAGTTAGCAAATGGTTGCTGAAAGAAGGGAGTGTACAGGGGTGGGAAACCCATGGAGATCAGTAGAGGGGAATCAAGGGCAAAAAACAAGCAGAGTTAGCTTTCATACAGGCTTATGTGGAATTATTTAGTGAGGTAGGTAAGAAAACCAAGAGGTACCATGATAGAGCCATATTTAAATATCCAAAGAAATGTAAAGTAGAAAACAAAGAAAATGTATTTTCTGTTTCAGAGACTAGAATGTGAACTAATGGATTCAAATTACAGGCTGAGCATCTCTTATCCTATTCTTCTTTTGGAACATTTGCATACACACACAAATTTGCTTTGTTTTCTACTTGACATTCCTTTGGATATTCCTTTGGAAATATGTGTGTGTGTGTGTGTGTATATGGTAAAGGTAAATTTATTTATTTATTATTTACCTCATTTATATACCACTTTTCTCAGCCCTTGGGTGACTCAAAGCGGTTAACAATAGCAAAATTCAATGCTCAACATCATAAAAACAGTTAAAAAACAATTAAAACAATAACATAATAAACAATCAATTAAACATAAATATAACATTTCATTAGCGTCTCATAGGTAGAATCAAGATAAATGTTTTCCCTTAAGGTTGTCCCCTTGTCCTCTGACATTAAGTCCAGTCATGCCTGACTCTGAGGGTTGGTGCTCATCTCCATTTCTAAGCCAAAGAGCTGGCATTGTCCGTAGACACCTCCAAGGTTATGTGGCCGGCAAAGGTAAAGGGGTTTTGCTTTTCCCCTGACATTAAGTCCAGTCGTGTCTGACTCTGGGGGGGTCATCTCCATTTCTAAGCCGAAGAGCCGGCATTGTCCGTAGACATCTCCAAGGCCATGTGTCAGGCATGACTTCATGGAGCACCATTACCTTCCTGCCACATTTGCATGTTTTTGAACTGCTAGGTTGGCACAAGCTGGGGCTGACAGTGGGAGCTCACCCCGCTCCCCGAATTTGAACCAGCGACCTTTCAGTCAGCAAGCTCAGCAGCCTTCACTGTGCCACCGAGGGCTCCGCACATATTCATATTATAATATATTTAAAATCTTAGTGATGGGACCCAAGTCTAAACATAACATTCATTCATCTTTCATATTCACCTTATACACAGAATGTGAAGGCAATTTCATACAACATTTCAAAACAATTTTGTGCATGAAACATAGTTTGTGTACACTTAACAAGAAAGCAAAGTTGGCACTATTTCAGCCACACATGGGTACAGTTTTGGAGTATTTGGGATTTCAGAAATCTGGATAAGGAATGCTCAATCTGTACAAGAAAAGAGATTCCACCTGAACATTAGGAAGAATGTTTTTAATAAATGTTGACAGTGGGCTAGACCACCCTAAGGTTGGTGAACTTTGCATCTTTAAGCAGAGGTTGGATAGGCATCTTTCAGCAGTGCTGCAGTTGTGCATTTTTGAATGGTAGGAATTGGACTGGATGGTCGTTGTGGCCCCTTTCCAACTCTAAAATTCTATGATTATATTATTCTTTCCCGCTTTAGCTTCCTTTCATGCCTGCACAGCAGATTTTCCTGTCTGCTAACCCGAGAAAGCTATCAGGAAAACACACAACAGCAATGAAGGCTGGTGGAGGATTAGAAGTTAGTGAGGCCCCGACAGCTGCCCAAGATGTTGATCCTTGACACTGGCCCTGTAAGCAGGGATCAGTGCAAACAAAAACAAAAGCTCAGCAACAGCAACAGAAGGTTGCTTGTGTCCAGACATAACTTAAGAAATCTCTATTTTTAGTCTCTCTTCCTCTCCCAATATTTCCCGCTCAGAGTGCGACTTCTACCTCCCCTTTGCCACCCCAATGAGTAAGTTATTCACAAGGTCACACCTTTAATTTTGGATTAGTTAAACATGCAAGCATGTCCTTGGGGTTTTCAAAGTGTAAAAATGACTTTGAAAAATAGACTGGGTTTCTCACTAATTAATCCAAAACGCAATTAATTCAAACAGAGAAGCAAAGAAGGAGAAAAACGATGGCTGACATTGGTGTATGTCAAAAATCCCATTTCTTAGTTTTTCCTCCTAGGCATCCTGAATTATTTAATTTTAGATCTATGTATCTACCTACTTACCTATTAATGTGGAAATATGAAATATTTATGTACAGAGTTGCATACTTTCTAACTTGTTACTGTTCCTTTTAAACAACACACTCTGCAAATGTTATCAGGTGATGGTTTTCATCTTTGTACTGAACGAACCTTCACCTAAAGTATATCGAGCTGCTCTTAAAAGCGGAAGAGCAAGCCTGACCATTTTTCCTGGCCTTTTGGCAACTTTATGTACATCTTTCTAAAATGCTACCCTCCAGTAATGAACAAGTATTAAATTGCTCCATTTTCAAGATGGAGCAACTCTTTTGTTTCTTCTAATAACATCCTTTTTGGATCAGTGCAGGAAACCACTCCGTTTTCAGTAGACATCTACAGAGTGCTGCCATCTAATTGTCTGGCAGGATTACTATGCCTTTAACACAATATGCAAAGGATGTGGCTTTGCCCAGCATGGAAAGGCACTGATGGAGAAAGATCCCCTATTGTGTATCCAAATCTCACTGGATTAATGCTATGTAGGCTGTGTTGCTGATAAAAGGTGGCAAATGCCAGAAGAATTGGAGAAATATGTGCACTCAGCAGGAAGCTCAATGACTTGCTGAATGGGCACTCACTTGAAGGTGTGGTCTCCTCCTCGCTCCAAGGCCAGATCTCTGCGGCTGCAAGAGAAAAAGACAAGATTGGTAAGCATCTTTTTTCCCAATTTTGCTTTCTTTAAGCAATCAGCTCCCTGAGTCCTTCTAGTTTCTCCCATGACAAAACCATAACTATATATTCTATAGTTATTACTCTTACTGTCTAACTAAATAGAGTTGCCACTGGCTGAAGTTCTATGTATTTCTGTGCCTGGACATATACCCTTTCCAAAAGCTTGTTAAAAGAATAGAAACACCATACAAAGTCAAGCGCTGGCAGTTTTGCTTATTTCCAGGTCTGCGTGTACCACTGATGTCTGTTTCTGCACGCAAACCATTTTCTGTTTCATTCGGACCTTAATTTTGTATCCCACTAAAATATATATTGTACATTATGTTTTGAGATCCTACATTCCCTCTGTGGAGTTCCACTTTCAACTCTGTGAATGTCTCTTTTTGGAGACAAGATACAAGAGCCTATCTGCTAGACCTTTGTGTCTCATATAAATCTTCTCTTGCTACATAGCTGTCAAGCTTCTCCCAGATTACCCATGAGTGTACTTAGGAGTAGTGGAACTTAACAGAATGGTGCAGTGATGATTTTACTCAGAATTAAAAGAACCAGCAGCAGAACAGTTTAGAACAGCATTTCTCAACCTGGGAGTTGCAAAGGGGGGGGGGGTGGTCCAGAAGGGGGTACAAAGACAATCAGAAAATACATATCGGCAGAATCTACAACTCCCTAATGACAAAATACATCCCCCACAACCCCACCAGTATTCAACTTTTGGCATATTGGGTATTTGTGCCAACTTTGGTCCAGATGCATAGTCGTTTGGGTTCACAGTGCTCTCCAGAGGTGGGTGAACTACATCTCCCCTAAATCACTGTCAAATCCCTCCAGTATTTTCTGTTTATCATGGGGGTTCTGTGTGGGAAGTTTGGCCCAATTATATCATTGGTGGGGTTCAAGGGGTTCTTTGATTGTAAGTGAACTATAAATCCCAGCAACTACAACTCCCAAATGTCAATTCTATTTTCCCCAAACTCCACCAGTGTTCACATTTTGGCATATTGAGTATTCATGCCAAGTTTGGACCACATCCATCACTGTTTGCTTCCACAGTGCTCTCTGGATGTAGGTGAACTACAACTCCAAAACTCAAGGTCAATGTCCACCAAACCCTTCCAGTATTTTCTGTTGGTCATGGGAGTTCTGTGTGACAAATTTAGTTCAATTCCATCGTTGGTGGAGTTCAGAATGCTCTCTGATTGTAAGTAAACTATAAATCCCAGCAACTACAAATCCCAAATGACAAAATCACACACACACCCCGCCAACCCCACTAGTATTTAAATTTGGTCGTATTGCATATTTGTTCCAAATTTGGTCCAGTGAATGAAAATATATATTGCATATCAGATGTTTACATGACAATTCATAACAGGAGCAAAAATACAGTTATGAAGTAGCAACAAAAATAATTTTATGGTTGGGGATCACCACAACATGAGGAAATGTATTAAGGGGTCGTGGCATTAGGAAGGTTGATCATTCTCTAAACCACTGGTTTCGAGAATGATCCTAAGCAGGAAAGAGTTTCTGGGCAATGGACTTGTCCCATTCACTGGGGCCTTCTTAGGAAGGAAGAGCTGTAGAAGTTGCACTGTTTCAGCTGGCTCTTTCCTACACTTCCATGTCTTGGTCCCAGTTTGATACCTACCAGCAGTTAAACCATGATATACCCCTGCTTTGGCCTTAGGTTGATGACCACATTTGGCAAACACTGACCTGTTGTAACTGCTCCAGTAGAGTTGGATATTGGGTAAATTGGTTGCATGACTCAAAATATCCCGTTGTTGTTGCACCAGCTCAGTGTTCTTGGACAGTTCCTCCTGTGAATGAGCAGAGAAAGGGCGTTACTGAAACATATCAACCACTCTTCAGTTATAACAGTAGGCCCTCCACTTTTGTGGAATTTAGGGACCAGAATCACCAAAAATTAAAAAAACCCACAATCGTGGTGGAGGACATAGAGAAATACTCGTGCTAGGGAAGTGTTTGCTCTAGCATAACTTTATGGTCAACTTCAAGCCCAACTTGACCATAGTATTGACCTGAAGGATATAGAGAGTCCAGAGAAAACATATTAATCAAATCAGAAAATAGTTAGATCCACAGAAGTTAAACCCTAAAATGTAGAACAGTGGTTCTCAATCTGTGGTTCCCCTGATGTTTTGGCCTTCAACTTCCAGAAATCTTAAGAATTGGGATTTCTGGGAGTTGTAGGCCAAATCACCTGGGGACCCACAGGTTGAGAATCACTGATGTAGAGGGCTGACTATACTTAAAGTTTAATTTGCAAATTTTCATCCAGCCTCATTAACTGTGCCTCAAAACCATCCTAAGGTACAGAATCGTTATGTATCTTTTATTTATTTTTTTGCAGGAAGCAATGCTTATTATCTTTATGCTGTGTCGACCTCTGCTTGCTGACTTCTGAAAATCTGCCTGAAGGTGCAAGAAGAGTTCAAGGGCTCAGTCCCATCTCTAGACAACTCTATTAACCTCCTTAAAGCATAGAAATGCCAAGGATGCTAAACAGGATCCCTCCTATGCCTCTCAAATCACATATCTTGACAAATTCAAATTGATTTTTGAGATGCTTTACTGGATGTCACAGGTCCAGTCAAATCACATTCTTCCAATCAAACTTCTCGTTATTTAGAGAAAGGAAAACTATCTTCATTCATTTCCATCAAATTTGTAAACAGACAGTGCTTGGGCCCTCGGGTTTAGCTGGCGACTGCTGAGACAACTCAAACTGACATTGCAGAGTTCTCTTTTAATTATTAAAACAAATGCATCAATATATAGTCAATCCTCCACATGTGCAAGATTCCTGCAAAAGTGGCAAAACCATGAATATAAAGACACTATTTTTAACATTTCTAGGAGTGTCTTGGGCCTCCAAGGTAACCCTATGGTTGTCTTCCACTGGGAGTTGATAAAAATTCAAACTGAGCGACCTAGCAATGCCTAGGGAGATGTCCACTCTAGAAATCTCTAAGTCTTCTAGTGCAATGCTGGAAGACCTATAAATTCCTAGAGAGAGCATAATCAAATCCACAAAAGTAAAACTCACATGTGGAGGGGTGACTGCACATCAAGCTGTAAGACAGCATACTGTCGAAGGCTTTCAGGGCTGGAATCATTGGGTTGTGGTAGGTTTTTCGGGATGTATGGCCATGTTCTAGAAGCATTCTAGAACATGGCCATACAGTCCGAAAAACCTACAACAACCCTGTAAGACAGTGTTTTTCAACCTGGGGGTCAGGACCACTGGGGGGGGGGTTGTGAGGGGGTGTCAGAGGGGTCGCCAAGGACCATTAGAAAACACAGTATTTTCTATTGATCATGGGAGTTCTGTGTGGGAAGTTTGGCCCAATTCTGTTGTTGCTGGGGTTCAGAATGCTATTTGATTGTAGGTGAACTATACATCCCAGCAACTACAACTCCCAAATGTCACATGTATTTTCCCCAAACTCCACCAGTGTTCACATTTGGGCATATTGGGTATTTGTGCCAGGTTTGGGCCAGAGCCATCATTGTTTGAGTCCACGGTGTTCTCTGAATGTAGATGAACTACAACTCCAAAACTCAATGCCCACCAAACCCTTCCAGTATTTTCTGTTGATCATGGGAGTTCTGTGTGCGAAGCTTGGTTCAATTCCATCGTTGGTGGAGTTCAGAATGCGCTTTGATTGTAAGTAAGCTATAAATCCCAGCAACTACAACTCCCAAATAACAAAATCAACCCCCCTTGCAACCCCACCAGTATTCAAATTTGTGCATATCAGTTATCTGTGCCAAAATTAGTCCAGCGAATGAAAATACATCCTGCATTTCAGATATTTACATGATGATTCATAACAGTAGCAAAATTACAATTATGAAGTAGCAATGAAAATAATTTTATGGCTGGGGGGTCACCACAACATGAGGAACTGTATTAAGGGGTCGTGGCATTAGGAAGGTTGAGAAACACTGCTGTAAGATGTTTTAGGTGACAGCCAACAAAGCTCAGTATGAGAGGCATACCCTTGCTCCTGTCTTTGCCACCCCGTTTGACATGCATGTTATTCTCCTGTTCAATGAACTTACCTGGCTGAAGAGATGTCCCACAATCATTTCAGGAATGGAGGATGTCAGGCCAGTCAGCTAAATAGCAAACACAAAATGAGATCAGAAGGAATGCAAAAAAGGGCACTATTTTGTATGAGTCAGATAGATGAATGCATGAGAAAAATGGAGATTTAGCTCATTTCCCAATAGCAAGGTATGGATCTTTGAGACTTATGTTCAAGCCCAGAGCTTGGGTTTGGAACATAGAAAACATCACATAGAGAGTGCTTCCTAGCATTAGAGTATCTTTTCTTGCATCACTGAATTACTGGAAATTTATCTCTCAAGATTCAGAAACTGACTACATCTTCCACGAGAGAAGGATACTTGATACCATTTCAATGGCAATGAAGTTGTGATGAAGCGATGATACTTGCTTGATGCCACGTCAATGGCGATGGTTTAATGCTATGCAATCATGGGAGTTTTGTAAATAGTGCTAGGACCTCACCAAACTGCAGCTCCTGGGATTCCAAAGCATTGAGCCATGGTGACAAACATAATTCATTATATAGTTTGGATCAGGCATGGGCAACCTTCGGCCCTCCGGGTGTTTTGGACTTCAATTCCCACAATTCCTAGCAGCCGGTAGGAGGGCTGAAGTTTGCCCATTCCTGATATAGATGCATCCTTTGTTAAATATTTCCCAACCAACAATAGAAAAAAAGGGAATCCCAGCAGCTAGAAACCTGTCATAGTAGAAGTTTCCACTAACCTAGATTTAAGCATTAAACCGGGGTCAGGGGGAAAAATTTGCAGATTGACCTTCCTAATCTTTTAAAAGTTTGAAGTTAATGCATATACACTCTTTTTTTAAAAAAATTGAGAAATATATTTGAATGAATAAATAAGACCCTGACCCTAATTTGGGTGGAACTGGAATATATTTTTTTTTCATGTCAGGAGCGACTTAAGAAACTGCAAGTTGCTTCTGGTGTGAGAGCATTGGCCGTCTGCAAGGACGTTGCCCAGGGGGACACTGGATGTTTTACCATCCTTGTGGGAGGCTTTTCTCATATCCCTGCATGGGGAGCTAGAGCTGATAGAGGGAGCTCATCTCCCTGGATTCGAACCTGCGACCTGTTGGTCTTCAGTCCTGTCGTCACAAGGGTTTAACCCATTGTGCCACCGAAGGTTCCACTGGAATAGATTCACATACTGTACATTTGATGAAAGAGGTACAGATATTTTCCATCTCAGTTCACAATTACATCTACAGTGAACTATGAAAAATAACATTCAAATTTAATTTACACCACGTTCTAACAACGTAATGATGCGTGCATGTGAGCAATGGCATTTTTTCTGCTTTGGGCCAGCGTGGCAAAACTGTCACCTTGCGGTCATCAAGGGGGAGCCATTTTTAGTTAGAGACAAGACAGGCAGCCCAGAGAAGACGGCTATTGATGCCTTGAGAGACAGAGAGTGTGAGAAACAGGAAAAGACAGCCAGAAGCACCGCTCTTGAAGAAACTGCCACAGCGTTTCCGGCCGAGGCTGAGGAACATGCCCTTTGGGAACTGGGGAGACTTTGTGAGCTGGGTTAACCAGCAGCTGATGGGCCAGGAGGTCAGCGAGAGGCAGCTGGAGGCAGCATACAATGGCTTACAGAGGAGCAAGAAGGCTGCAGAAAGCTGGAGGCAGGTGCTTGGAAAAATGACGAAAGGGCAGCGGAGAGGAAGCGGGGCCATTCCCTCAAAAACCAAATCCACCGAGCCTCTCGACTGCCAGAACCATTTCCAGCTGGTCTTTATAAGAACTGGATTATTTCACTTTTTAAATTGTTGTTGATGTTTGCTTCTCCCTCCTTATAGCTTTTTCCTTTGAGTTGTGTGACTTTTTTATTTTTGTGTTTCTAAAATATTTTTGAGTATCCTATAAGGAAGAAAGGGTGGGATATGAATACAAACAACAACAAACTGTAATCCTAGGGAGAGGGGTGTTGTTTCACTTCACATATATAAAATGGTTCTGATATCCCTTTTGGCTGGAAAAGTAGGAGAGAAATGCTTTGAATAAGTAAAAATCCTGCAGGTCGAATTTTGGCAGAATGACAATTCTGGGAAATTTGGAAGGAAGGTGGAAATGAGCCTAGCTTTGCATCAGGGCCAGATAAGTGCAATAACTAATAGCGATTATAAATCCATTGTATACAGGAGGTAGAGTCCCTCTTCAGGGGGAGAAGGAGGGGTATAAATATAGGAAATAAATAAAAATAGATAAAAGGTAAAGGTTTTCCTCTGACATGAAGTCCTGTCGTGTCCGACTCTGGGGGTTGCTGCTCATCTCCATTTCTAAGCTGCAGAGCCGGCGTTGTCTGTAGACACCTTCAAGGTCATGTAGCCGGAAACCTATTGATCATCTCACATTTGCATGTTTTCGAACTGCTAGGTTGGCAGAAGCTGGGGCTAACAGCAGGAGCTCACCCTGCCCTCCAGATTTGAACTGGTGACCTTTCGGTCAGCAAATTCAGCATCTCAGAGGTTTAACCCACTGCACTACTGGAGGTTCCTGATACAGGAGGTACCAAGTTCAATTTCTAACTTATTTTGATGCATGTTTGAAATACCAAAAAAAAAAAAACTGCTGCCAGAAGGTATATTATAGGTTGAACAGTCCATATCTGGAATTCTGAAATCCAAAATTTTCCAAAATCCAGAAAACAATTTCCAGAAAGCATTACCAATAGTATAGGTTGAGCCTTCCATATCTGGAATTCTGAAATCCAAAATAATCCAAAACCTCACATTGCTAATATCTTTGTTTTCTAATTATTTAATTGCACACAAACTTTGTTTCATGCACAAAATTATTTTCAGGCTTTGTGTATAAGGTATTTATCAGTGGTTCCCAACCTGTGATCCGCAAGAATGAAAATATGATACACGGCCTCACCGTTGCCTCTGTGATGAGCAGACAGCAACTACTGGATGGCATGTGTTCTGAATCAGAAACTAGAGCTGATGTGGTCTATCCAATGCAATTTTCTGAATCAGCAACCCAAATAACCAAACCAAATCTAAAGTTGACCAAAAATTGATTTGTAACCTTTTGGTACTAATGTTGGAGAGTGGTCACTGGTTAAACTGGTCCACGGTCAAAAAAAGGTTGGGAGCCACTGGTATATGTGAAACGTAAATAAATCTCATAGATCAAAGATATCTCATTATGCCCATCGGTGCAAATACAGGTATTCCAAAATCTGGGGGAATACCCCTCAGAACTCCAAATACTTCTGGTCCCAAACAGAGTGACGGATCTGGAACTATTTCGTATTCTGTAAGAATAGTATTTTGTATTCAGCCCATGCATTCCTCACTCATCATATAAATGAATGTCACAGCATGGTTTGAGTTTCTTTCTGGACTTCTTTTGTTGCTACATTTCTTTGACAGTCAGTTCACTCATTACAGCATTTGTTTACAGCTACAGTTCGGTAGGCTGTACCGAACTGTCCTGTGCCTCCACAGTAGGCACAGGAGCTTTGCAAAAGGGGAAAAACTATTTTAAAAATTCTATTTTTCTTAACCTGAGAGAACACCTGTCTAGGAATTTCTGTGTCCTCCAGTGTGACTCTATGTTCAACTTCTGCCAAAAACCGAACAGAGTCATTTTGGAGGACCTGGAGACTGCTACAGAGAACATATTAATCAAATCTGCAAAAATGTGTTGTCAAAGCCTTTCATGGCTGGAGTCACTGGGTTGCTGAGAGTTTTCTGGGCTGTATGGTCATGTTCCAGAAGCATTCTCTCCTGACGTTTTGCCTACATCTATGGCAGGCATCCTCAGCGGTTGAGAAGTCTATTGGAAAATAGGCAAGTGAGGTTATATATCTGTGGAATGTCGAGGGTGGGAGAAAGAACTCTTGTCTGTTTCAGGCAAGTGTGAATGTTGCAACTGCCCACCTTGATTAGCATTGAATAGCCTTGCAGCTTCAAGGCTTGGCTGATTCCTGCCTGGGAGAATCCTTTGTTGGGAGGTGATTAACTGGCCCTGATTGTTTGTTGTCTGGAATTCCCCTGTTTTTGAGTGCATGTGGACAATTTCAACAGAAAGGAGGAAACCATGAAAATAAAATCTGGCTACCAGTATTAAAAAAACTCTAAAATTAGGACAGTAAAGAAAGAACAACATTCAAAAATGGGAATTCCAGACATGAAACAATCAGGGACAGCTAATCAACAAAGGATTCCCCCAGACAGGAAGCAGCTAAGCCTTGAAGCTGCCAGGCTATTCAATGCTAATCAATGTGATCAATTGCAGCATTCACACTTGCCTCAAACAGACAAGAGTTCTTTCTCCCAACCTGGACATTATTCCACAGACATATAAACACCACTTGCCTAGTTTCCAACAAATGTCACAACCTCTGAGGATGCCTGCCATAGATGTGGGCACAATGCCAGGAGGGAATGCTTCTGGAACATGATCATACAGCTTGGAAAACTCACAGCAACCCAAGTCTGCAAAAATTAAACCCACATCTGTAGTAATAAACGTTATTGACTCATTGGGCTAAAGACAGATTGGCAATTTGTCCCAGGAATTAGGTATCACATGCATTACATGAAGCTGTGGCTCTGCTTCTTCACCAGCCTCACCTTGTGAGCTGCCCAGTCCATCCATCCCTTGGCATTAGGGTCAATGTTGATCAGAACCAAACCCTCCACAGTGTTTGCATGAGTGAGCTGCAGAAAATAAAAACAAACAAGAAAGGTTATTCTTGCTGCTATCATGTTACCAGCGATAAAACATTTACACCACAATGGCGTGTTGTTCACCACACTTCTCATCTCTTTTCACAGATTAAGGTAATCTTTGCAAGGAGCTGAATGAACAGAACGATCAATGGGATGGGCTTCTGGGGTGTAGAAGTGGGAGCAGGGGATGAAAATATTACTGCCCAAATAAGTATTATGGCCACCCAAATGAATTTTTCTTTTAGTCCATAATTTTATAGCACTATTTATATAAATAAAAATGTAATGTTCGTTTGTGGGATTAACATACGTCAAAAACCACTGGGCGAATTGACACAAAATTTGGACACAATACACCTTATCATGCCAACGAGTGACCATCACTCATAAAAACACTGAAAAACACAGTGGAAAGGACTTAAAAAGCCAAAAATGCATGCACAAAATGACCCCCCCCCCGGCAAAAAACCCCCCACACAATAGCATATCCACACTCTCTTTCAGACTACAGCTCCCAGCATCCCCAAGACCAGGTCTCTTAGGAGAGGAGGATGATCCAAATGCACTGCTTCCAAACTACAAGCCTTCTTCTCCTTGGATTTCTTTTAGACCATCCCAATCGCTACATATTTCCAATTTCCTATTCCTGGACTACAACTCCCAGCAATCCTCCAAATAGATTAGATAGAGATAGATAAGTAGGTAGATTGATTGATCAGGAGTACTGCTGGGAGTTGCAATCAAAGGATAGGTAGAGAAGGCAGAATGGGGAGAAAGAGGAAGGGAAAGAAAAGGGGAGAAGGAAGGGAAGAGGAAGAGAAGGAAGGAGAGAATAAAAGAAAAAAGGGAAGGAAGGAAGGAGAGAAAGAAAGGAGGAGAGAAAGAGGGAAGGTGTGTGGCAGGTACAGCTAGTAGTAACATAAAACTTCAGTTGTAAGAGGGCTTCAGCAGCCATAGAAAAGAGTCAGGAAGAGTTACCAAGAGAATGCAAACACAACAAATATATCCACACCGTGCAGCGAAGCCTTTGATTGTAATCTCCATGAATATGAGAGGCATTCTGTAACACATTTTAATGTTTTTTTTCTAAAGTTTTAGAAAAATACGGTGGGGAGGGTGGGCCAACAAGTGGTATGGAAATAGAGATACACCTCTGAATACCAGATGGTGGAGACATACAACAGAGGATATCTGTTGCCTTATTGGCTTCCTAGAGGCAGCTGGCTAGACAATGATGGAAATAGGATGTAGCACTCAATGTACCCTTGGTTTGATTCAACAGGGCTCTTCTTATGTTAATGATTTCTTCTTCTTCTTTCCCCTTTTGGCTGAAGGGAGATTTAAACCAGAACACTGCTCTGTCTCTGACACAATGCCACATTAGCTCTCCTACAGCGCCTTTCCAATAATACTGAACAGCCAGCGTGGTTGGAGTGTCAGAAGAGGCCTCCGGAGACCTGGGATAACCCCTCCCACCATCTTGGCCATTGAGGTTGACCTTGGGACATGGAGTATCTTTCATTCTAACCAATTTATTAGGGTTCTAAAAAGAGAAACAGGGTGGCAATAAGGTGGGAGAAAAGAATCACACACACCACCTTGAATTTCTTAGAAGAAATATGAGATATTAATGTATTAAGATAACCCCATTGCGAAAATCAGGATAAAATATATCTCCTGACAGTCAAATCAAGTATTGGGAACTGGAGTTCTAAATACTTCAAGGCCCAGCATTTACCACCATTGGCTAGGTTGATTAAAGCTAATGGGAGGGTGTTTACTCCTTTATTTTGTTGATGTATATGATTAAAAAGAGATACAAATAAAAAGGCAGAAGTTGACTGCTGAGGCCCCTTCTACATTATCCTTATATCCCAGGATCTGATCCCAGATTATCTGCTTATCCCAGATTTTATGGCAGTGGAGACTCATAATCCAGTTGAAAGCAAATAACCTGGGATTGGATCCTGGGATATAAGGACAGTGTAGAAAAGGCCTTGGCTGCATTGAGGGACCTAGAGAATCCTACAAAAAACATTGCATTCAATCAATGAATAATCAAATCCACAAAAGTCAAATCATAGAATCACAGAGTAGGAAGAGACCTCGTGGGCCATCCAGTCCTACCCCCTGCCAAGAAGCAGGAAAATAGCATTCAAAGCACCCCCAACAGAAGGCCATCCTGCCTCTGTTTAAAAGCCTCCAAAGAAGGAGACTCCACCACACTCTGGGGCAGAGAGTTCCACTGCTGAACAGCTCTCACAGTTAGGAAGTTCTTTCTAATGTTTAGGTAGAATCTCCTTTCCTATAGCAGAAAACAAGTCTGGTCCCTCCTCCCTATGTGTTCCCCTCACATATTTATACACGGCCCTCATCATGTCTCCTTTCAGCTTTCTCTTCTGCAGGCTAAACATGCCCAACTCTTTACGTCGCTCCTCATAGGGCTTGTTCTCCAGACCCTTGATCGTTTTAGTCGGCCTCCTCTGAACACACTCCAGCTTGTCATCATCTCCCTTTAATTGCAGTGCCCAGAACTGGACACAGTATTCCAGGTGTCCTGGGATATAAGGACAGTGGTCTGACCAAGGCAGAATAGAGTGGTAGCATGACTTTCCCGAATCTAGCCACTATACTCCTACTTATGCAGGTCAAAATCTCATTAGCTTTTTTGGCTTTTTTTTTATCTAAGTCTATATAAATAAAAATGTAATGTTCATTTGTGGGATTAACATAACTAAAAAACCACTGAACGAATTGACACCAAATTTGGACACAAGACACCTACCAGGCCAACAAGTGACCATCACTCATAAAAACACTGAGAAACACAGCAGAAGGGACTTAAAAACCAAAAAACACCCCCCAAAAGATGCTACAGCGCATGTGCAAAATGACTCCCCCTGGCAAACAAAGCACCATGTTGAAGGCCTTACTGAAATCCAGATATGCTACATCCACGGCGTTCCCTGCATCTATCCAGCTTGTAACTCTATCAAAAAAAAAAAAAAACTGCAAATGTGTAGGGCCAACTGTATTGCAACACACAACATGTGCTCTCCAGTGGAATCAACACAAGTTCCCTCCTCCAGCTCAACCAATAATCCTAACCTCTGCCACACAGGACTATTTCACCCCTGTTAGGGTTAGGAAACAGAATCAGTGGTCTGATTCTCTTGTTATTTCTGAGATGTCCAAGTCACAGTGAGGGGAGGCGATCTGACCACAACAGTTTGGCATGCTGATTATGTCTCGAATGTCTCCTCACATGACCAGCGCTGGCTCTTAGCTTACTTACGCTGTAGCGTGCCAGAATGTAAGCTCCAGCACCGACTCCAATTCCAATGATGCTGGTGAAGCTGTGGGGAGGAGAAAGAGAGGCAAGTTACAAAAGTACCCAACCATGTCAGAACCGCCTGGTCTCCAGGATTTCTTTTATAGAGCTTAGAAAGAGCAGTTGGTTCCAGGAGTTGCTGCCTTTGCTTATCTTGTGCCTTTCAGTGTTGTGTTTCTGCATGGAAAATGTCACAGATTGCGCCTTTTGATTTGGTGGCCTTTCGTCTCCACTGTTTACGTTCTTTCTCTTTATCATCCGCCCCCTCTCTGGGTGGATTTCTATATTTATCTCCCTTGATATAGATACGCATGGTTCCACCAGCTGAGGTTCACACTTCATGCATCTGATGAAAGAGACCATCTTTCAGAGGCCAGACTGCAATTACTCAGCCTTGGAAGTACTACAAGTCTCTCTCTCTTTTAACATTTCCTGGAACATTGCTGTTGTGTGTGTGTGTGTCAGGAGCAACTAGAGAAACTGCAAGTCGCTTCTGGTCTGAGAGAATTGGCCGTCTCCAAGGACATTGCCCAGGGGACACCTGGATGTTTTACCATCCTGTGGGAGGCTCTTCTCATGTCCCCGTATGAGTAGCTGGAGCTGACAGATGGGAGCTCACCTTGCTCCCCGGATTTTAACCGCCGACCTTTCGGTCAGCAGTTCTGCCAGGACAAGGGTTTAACCCATTGCCCACCAGGGGCTCCATAAATGTTGCTAACTCTCTGTAACTATAATTATACTAATTAGTATCTGAGAGGGGAAGTTGAATAGGGAAGATCTCTGACAGGCCAGAAGAAAGGACAGAGATACCACCTACAGCTCCACAATGAGTAGAAATCAGATGATGACGAGATTCTAAATCCTCCATGGAGTAGACAAAAATCATGGAAAGGCAGAAAACTGATGTCCTTTTCTTAACCTGCAAGAAATCTTTGGGGCTAGGCAATGGGGCTAGGAACAAGCTGAGTTTCATGGATTCGGGCAAAGGATATTTGGAGCCAGGACTTAGGTTATGTTCCCAATTGTAGGAGTAGTGTATGTGAAAAGCAAAAAGGTGTATTTAAGTTTAGAAGAGGGATGGAATTCATGTGGACTTCCAGATGTTAAACTGCAATTCCATACAGCCCCATTCACCTTAGTCAATGGTGAAGAGTGCTGGGAGTTGGAATCCAACATCACCTGGAGGGACACAGTTGTCCATCCTAAGTTTAGAATTAAAACACCTTTCCTGAAAGAAATTTGGTGCCACGAATGGATGCTCAAAACATGCATTCCTCTGAGATGGGGAAAGCTGGCCCTAATTAGTTTCTAATTGGCAAAAGTCCAAACACTCTTTGAAGAAATAAAGGAGAAACCCAAGGAGTAGGTTAGTACAGAATATTTTTAGTTCCTGTGAGTTTTCTGGGCTGCATGGCCATGTTCCAGAAACATTCTCTCCTGATGTTTAACCTACATCTAAGGCCAGCATCCACAGAGGTTGTGAGGTCTGGGTTGTTGTAGGTTTTTCGGGCTATATGGCCATGTTCTAGAAGCATTCCCTCCTGAAGTTTCACCTACATCTAATGCCGGCATCCTCAGAGGTTGTGAGGTCTGGGTTGTTGTAGGTTTTTCGGGCTATATGGCCATGTTCTAGAAGCATTCTCTCCTGACGTTTCACCCACATCTAAGGCAGCATCCTCAGACTTTGTGAAGTCTGGGTTGTTGTAGGTTTTTCGGGCTATATGGCCATGTTCTAGAAACATTCTCTCCTGATGTTTCACCTGCAACAATGGCAAGCATCCTCAAAGTTTGTGAGGTCTGAGGATGCTTGCCATAGATGCAGACGAAACATCAGGAGAGAATGCTTTTAGAAAATGGCCATATAGCCCGAAAAACCTACAACAACCCAGTGATTCCAGCCATGAAAGCCTTCGACAATATGTTGTGAGATCTGTTGGAAACTTGGCAAATGAGGTTTATACACCCTGAACATTCCACAGATATATAAACTTCATTTGCCTAGTTTCCAACAGACCTCATAACCTCTGAAGATGTCTGCCATAGGTGTGGGTGATACGTCAGGAGAGAATGCTCCTGGAACATAGCTATGCAGCCTAGAAAACTCACAGCAACCCAGTGATTCTAGCCTTCGACAACAGAATATTTTGAGTTTCAACCTTTTCTTTGGGCTGCTTCTGTATTGAGTTTTGGATATGACATCAAGTTTTGCATTTTTCAGATTTACCTTCCAGCCCAGCATATGGGGAACTGCTGGGAAGCCTCTGCAGAAAATAGATATCAATTGCAATAAACATTCACTGACATACACAAAGCCCAAACCACCCTCTTCTGACTCACTTGACATATTGCAAGATGCAAGGGATCATGTCTGCCAGCTGGTCCAGAGAAGGATACTGATACCTAGGAAGGGAGGGGAGAGCAGAGGCTGTGTTAGAAAGCCTGGCTTCCTCCCCACGACACCCAACAGTGCGGGTGGGGCAGGAGTGGAGGCGGCAAGGCTCACCCCAGAGGGAAGGCCGGGGCACCCTCCTCCATGCCGGGCGCGTCCACATGTATCACCACGAAGTTCTTTATGATCTCTTGCATGTCCTCAAAGTGGAAAAGGGTGTCGAAGCACGAATGATCTGAGGGTGGGGGTTAGGGGGAGACAGAAGAAGGGGGTGTCAGGCTGTGGAAGGGCAAGAGCTTGTGCTGTCGTAGTGGCAAGGTGCACATCAAAATGGGGGCGGCCTTATGGTGATGTAGGCAGCAGAGCCAGTTGTAGGGCTGCCAAATAACAACTTAAAAAAATTACAGAGAACCCTTCCACACAGCCCTATATCCCAGAATATCAAGGCAGAAAATCTCACATTATCTGAGTGTGGATTCTGTTAACCCAGTTCAAAGCAGATTTCCGGGATTTTCTGCTTCGATATTCTGGGATAAAGGACTTTGTGGAAGAGCTTTGGGGCGTCTACTTTATGGCACAATGCTATGCCGGTATAGTCAAAAGAAAAGGGTGCTATGATCTATGGCAGGCATGGGCAAACTTTCTAACTTGGGGGCCACATGGTGGGCCGGAGCAAGGTGGGTGGGCCGAAAGGGAGGGGATTCTCCCCAGGCCCCCTCCTTGCCCTTTTCTCCCCTTTCTCTTCTCTTTCGGGGGCAGAAAGTGAAGGAAAGACAGGAAATGTTTGGATCCTAAAAAGTGTAGCCTTGGTCGGGATGAGATGGTGGACAGGAGAGAAAACGTATATCCATTAGACCCCATATTGCCTACTCCTGGTATAGAATTCTATATCTGGATGGCCCACCCCCATCCCAAGGGCCATCTAGTCCAACCCCCTGCCGTGAAGGCACAATCAAAGCACTCCCAATAGACAGTCTCTGTGGAAAAGCCTCCAGAGAAGGAGACACCACTACACTCCGAGGCACACTATGCCACTCTCCAGGAAGTTCTTACTAATCTTTTCAGTTGAATCTCTTTCCCTGCTATTTGAAACCATTGCTCACTTGTGTCCTGGTCTCTAGAGCAACAGAAAGCCACCCCCCTCCCAAATCCTTCTCCTCAATGCGACACTCTTTCACCCATCTTGAAACATGGTTCTCATGTTCCCTCTCAAACATCTCTTCTCCCAGCTAAACATCCCCCAGGAGGAAAGGAGAAAGGAAAAAGAGAAGAAAGGAAGGAAGGAAGGAAGGAAGGAAGGAGGAAGGAAGGAAGGAAGGAAGGAAGGAAGGAAGGAAGGAAGGAATGAATGGTGGAAGGATAGACAAAAGGGAGGGAGGAAAGAGAGAAGRAGGGATAGACAAAAGGGAGGGAGGGATGGAAGGGTGGAAGAGAATGGAGGGAGGGAAAGAGAAGGAAACAAAGACAAAAGGGAAGGGAAGAGAGAGGGAAGGAGGGAGAAAAAATTGAAGGAAGACAAAAGGGTGGAAGGAAAGGAAGGAGGAAGGGGAAAGGAAGGAAGGAAAGGGTGGACGGAAAGGAAGGAGGGGGAAGGGAAGAAGGAAGGAAGGACGAAGGGGTGAAAGGAAAGGAAGGAGGGAGGGAAGAAGGAAGGACAAAAAGGTGGAAGGAAAGGAAGAAGRGAGGCAGGAAAGAAGGAAGAAAGAAAGGAAGGACAAAATGGTGGAAGCAAAGGAAGGAGGGAGCGAGGGAAGAAGGAAGGAATGAAGGAAAGAAAGAGAGAAGGCAGGAAGGATAGGTTGGGGAGAGAGAGGAGGGCCTGAGAAAAGAGCCCAAGGGGCCACATCTGCCCTTCAGGCCTGAGTTTGCCCATACCTGATCTATGGTCTACTCCTTTGTGAGAATGTTTAAGACAGCAATGTCTGGCATATGGTTAACTGGCTCAACTAAAAAGGAACAGAGGGACTATACAGTCAACTAGAGGGACTTGGATTGGCAGTTTCTATGCTCTCCCTGCAAGAGTTTGTGGGAAAGTGGAGCTTTCTGGATCATTGCAGAAAAAAGATGATCAGTGAAAGAATACTAAACCAGAGTTTGACTCACATTGGGAACCTAGAAGATAATATGTCAGTTTTAACACTTCTCACCAACTTTTGAAATTGTAACATGTGGATTATCATTTTAAGATACACATCCACATTCTAAAATTGACACTCAAAATGTATCTGTTTAGAATAAGGGTATGTATTTTAAAGCAGCAAACAGGTCTCAGTGTCGAAACATTGCATGCTATCAAAAATGAGTTTCAGGATCAACCTGTCTCACTCCCAAAGTCAAGATTTCAAACACATTTTATTACTAGTGATTATCTGACCTACCCCATAGGCTTAGGAAAGTTTTATAACCTTTTCCTCCCGAGATGTTCTGAATGACAATATCTACTATCCTTAACCACCAGCCGAACTGGTTTTGCTTCTGAGAAATGATGTCCAAACCCTCTGCAGGATTAAAGGTTTCCTACTATGTCACGTGTGTGAGTATATGTGTTTTCAAGTTGCCTGTTGACTTATGGTGACCCCATAGGATTTTCTTGGACAAATAATTCTTAGAGGTGGCTCTCCCAGTTCCTTCCTTTGAAATAGGACCTTCAGCACCTGACGTTCACTGGCAGTCTTCAATCCAACTACTACGCCAAACCAACCCTACACAACTTATTAGATCAGCTGAGTTCTGGCCCTTCTAGGATATTTTAAGCATCTACCCCACCGTAATTTATGCTTAATTCACATTCATGATCCACAATTAATTCTGTTTTCCATATGGAGAACTAAGGGCCCTTCCACATAGCCCTATATCCCAGAATATCAAGGCAGAAAATCCCACAATATCTGCTTTGAACTGGGTTATCTGAGTCCATACTCAGATAATGTGGGATTTTGCCTTGATATTCTGGGATATAGGGCTATGTGGATAGGACCCACAGGGGCCATCTAGTCCAACACCATAATTGGGTTATCTGAGTCCACACTCAGATAATGTGGGATTTTTTGCCTTGATAATCTGGGATATAGGGCTGTATGGAAGGGCCCTTTGTGCTAATAACATGTTAACACTTGTTCTCTGATAGCAGATCTTCCATTCTGTGGGAAATTCTGAAAACCTCATTTCCAAATGACAGAAAAAGCTGGAGGGGATAAAAAAAATCCTGAGAAACTGTGAAGGATGAGTTGTCGGCTTCCTCTCTCCGTCTGGTGTTTATCTCCCCTTCTAAGAGACTCATTTTTCTCTAGGAGTTGCAAAGTGGAGGGATTAGCAGGAAAAATTAGTTGCAAAGATAAGATATGCAACAAAAGGAGATATGAAGTTGGGAAACTCCCCCCCTCCCCCTACCTTCAAAAAGCATTTTCTGTCACCTCCAGCTTCCTCTTAGGTCCCTTCAACACAGCCATATAAATCCAGAATATCAAGGCAGATAATCCACAATATCTGCTTTGAACTGGGTTATGTATGTCCACACTGCCATATAATCCAGTTCAATGTGGATTTTGCACAGCTGTGTGGAAGGAGCCTTGCTGTTAGAGATGGAGAATTCAGAGTTTTTCTACAGCAGGAAGATCTTCCTTGAGTTATGTATAGGCAGGTTGTGAGACAGATGGACTGATTAATTCAGAATTACTTACAGGATGTGAATCCAGACAATCTCCTTTTACAGAATACTAAACAACAAGAGTTGGCATTCTTAAACATTATCAGCTTCAAACAAGTCTGAGAGCAAACCATGTCTGAACTCTCTCTGGAAGCCAATATGACTAAACTGAGACTATAATCCTATGGACATATCATGGGAAGACATGATTCATTCAAAAAGACGGTACAGTCAGCCCTCCGCAGTCCTAGAGATTCAAAGGGCCCTTCCACACAGCCCTATATCCCAGAATATCAAGGCAGAAAATCCCGCAATATCTGCTTTGAAATGAGTTATCTGAGTCCACACTCAGATAATTTGGGATTTTCTGCCTTGATATTCTGTGATATCTGAGTCAAGGAAGGCACAGATCTGAGTATGCAAGATCTGATCCAGGTAGTTGATAACAGGATTATTTTGGGGCTTCCCATTCATTGGGTTGCCATAAATAAAAACAAACTTGATTTGCAATGGACAGCAATAAGTTTTTGATTTGCATCCTTCATGGGGCAGCCTTAGGATTAGTTATGGTAGATGGGGCGGAATGTGGGAGGCAAGGGATAGTGGAGACTGGTGATTTTAGTGAGCTGGTGGATCTACACAAGGAGCTTAATCAGAACTTTATAGGAACTCTCATATAATTATTTGGAAGTGACCTCATGGGCCATCCAGTCCCACCCCCTGCCAAGAAGCAGGAAAATCACATTCAAAGCACCTCTTGACAGAGGGCCATCCAGTTTCTGTTTCAAAGCCTCCAAAGAAGGAGCCTTCACCACAGTCTGGGGCAGAGAGTTCCACTGTTGAACAGCTCTCGCAGTTAGGAAGTTCTTCCTAATGTTCAGGTGGAATCTCTCCAGGATCCTGAATCCATTTTAGGGATTAGATTCATTGTGTTGAGTCATTTATTTAAAGTTTGGACTGCTACCTGGAGTGAATTGATTATCCCCCCGGTATGGAAGCCACCTGCCACTGGTAGAGGCAGAAGGGTGATCAAGTTCTACTATTGGCTGAAGTTCAGCAAACTCGTTTGGCTCCCACTTGTTTAACAAGAACATTAATCATATTGCTCTGATGCATCGATCCGGCTGTCAAGACTTCCTGACTTCTATCAACATCAGTGTAGATATGCATGTATATGATTTAATGCCTAGTTCATGAAGTGACCATTTTCCCATTTTAAAAAAGTAAAATAAACCCTGGACATCCATGTTAAAAAATCAAAATAAACCCTGGATGCACACACACAGAGTGGAAATTTCCAGGCCCACCAAAACAAGATATGCATGTATATGATCTAATGCCTAGTTCATGAAATGCATTAGACTATTTTCCCACTTTAAAAAAGTAAAATAAACCCCAGACACCCATTTTAAAAAAAAACCAAAATAAACCCTGGATGTACACACACACAGAGTGGAAACTTCCAAGTCCACCAAAACAAGAGACCTGGGGAATTCATCTCCAAATAGTTAAATAGTTCCATGAGATATACTGCAGTATGCAACGTTTTAAATTTTTTTTCTCGGGGTTGCAATGGTGGGTAAACTCCCAGCCCCCCTGCCCCCACAATGGGTGGGCACTCCAGCCTTACGGTTTTGTCCCACATCATGGTAGGTGAGGATGGCAGGACGCTTGGGTTTGGGTGTTCCATGGATGGTGATTGTCACAATTCCATATGGCGTCTCCACTGTATGTTTCTGTGGAAGCAGAGAGAGAAAGAGAGAAGAGGGTAAACACGTGCAGTGTGGCAATGCTAGACGACTGTAATTGGAGCCATGCAGAGAGGAAGGAAAACTGGTGGAAGGCTAACGTTCAAACTTTCATGGTCCTTTATGAACCATTTGTGTTTGAAGTAGGGCCTTATGTGTGCATTGTTCATAAGTACTTAGTACTGAACTCCCAATCTGAAATCATATGTATTGTGCTTAGAATTTGCAATCACACAGAATTTTGTGCATGAGGTACAATGTGCATGAGATACAATGGGGGATTTTGTGCATATAAATTAGAATTGGGGAGGGGGGGGGGTTGGAATTGGGAGCTAATCCCTGCAAATTTACTCCTGCCTTCTTTATTTTATATATAAATATTTTTATTAATGTAATATTTTGCTTTGTGAGATTTTGTACATTTAATACAAACACATCATTTATCTATAGCCACATTTCTCCACCCTCTTCCATTTTCTCAAACTCCCCTCATTCTGTATTATCCACTCATTAATCTAATATATCTTAGTTCTGTTCACTCTTTTGTTTTTTCCCCCATTCCTCCAGCCGAAACCCATACCATAATTTCCATTATAACAGCATTTCTCAATCTGGGGGTCGGGACTCCTGGGGGGTCACGAGGGGGATGTCAGAGGGACCGCTGAAGACCATTAGAAAACACAGTATTTTATGTTGGTCATGGGAGTTCTGTATGGGAAGTTTGGCCCAATTCTATCATTGGTGGGATTCAGAATGCTCTTTGATTGTAGGTGAACTATAAATCCCAGCAACTGCAACTCCCAAATGTCAAGGTCTATTTCCCCCAAACCCCATCAGTGTTCACATTTGGGCACATTGAGTATTTGTGCCAAGTTGGTCTTTATCCATCATTGTTTTGAGTACAAGTAGTCCCTGGATGGAAGTGAACTACCACTCCAAAACTCAAGGTCAATGCCCACCAAACCCTTCCAGTATTTTCTGTTGGTCCCGAGCATTCTGTGTGCCAAGTTTGGTTCAATTCCATTGTTGGCGGAGTTCAGAATGTTCTTTGATTGTAAGTGAACTATAAGTCCCAGAAACTACAACTCCCAAGTGACAAAATCAATCCCCACCAATCCCACCAGTTTCAAACTTGGGCGTATTGGATATTTGTGCCAAATGTGGTCCATATACATCCTGCATATCAGATATTTACACTATAATTCACAACACTAGCAAAATTACAGTTATGAAGTAGCAACAAAAAATAATTTTATGGTTGGGAGTCACCACAACATGAAGAACTGTATTAAGGGGTTGCGGCATTAGGAAGGTTGAGAACTACTGCCTTAGAGAAAGGCAATAGCAACCCACCCAGAAGAATCCAGTTCACTTTAAGTCAGAAAAGCCCTGAATGCAGACAACAATGAAAACAAAACTTGATCTTGGGCTTTTCCATTTAAAAAATCCCAAGAAGCTTGAAAACATTGAGACGACAGAGAAATGGGTTATGGTAAAACTTCACTCAAGGTAAATCAACCTGTGCATTTACCCCAGAGCTAGGGATAATTATAGTTTTGGACTACTGCTATTAGAATCTCTCAACTAACATGGCTAGTGATAGAGCAGGCTAAGGGATTTGGAGATGTTATCAGAAGAATAGTTGTACTTTTCCCTATGAGTGAGGAGATATATGAATACACACAAACATGTATATAGCGTATCTATGTTAAAAAAAACTACAAGTAGGGAGGCCCCGGTGGTGCAATGGGTTAAACCGCTAAGCTGCTAAACTTGTTGACCGAAAGGGCACAGGTTTGAATCCGGGTAGCAGCGTGAGCTTCCATTGTCAGCCCCAGCTTCTGTCAACCTAGCAGTTCGAAAACATGCAAATGTGAGTAGATCAATAGGTACTGCTTCAGCGGGAAGGTAACGGCACTCCTTGCAGTCATGCAGGCCACATGACCTTGGAGGTGACTACGGACAAAGCCGGCTCTTCGGCTTAGAAATGGAGATGAGCACCACCCCCAGAGTAGGACACGACTGGACTTAATGTCAAGGGAAAACCTTTACCTTTATGGAATCAAAGTTGCATGTATACCTTTATGGAATCAAAGTTGCATGTAAACCAAAAAAAAAAGCTACCATGATCCCATAGCATCAAGCCGTTGCAGTTAAATTGGTGTCAAACTGCATTAATTCCACAGTGTAAGTACACCCTTTGACACGTTGTGTCATTGAGAATGCACCTGACTCTCAGGTCAGAGGACGTGACTCACAGGGAGGATCTCAGCTTGGGCATATGTCATCTTAAATATTAAATATTGCCTCTCGCCAGTGCTTCAGAACAAGGGAGGAATTCAGGGCAGAAGGGACCGTCCCCGCCTTATCCTCGTTCCCATGATGCGCAGGGAAAAACTTGGGTCGATATCAAAACAATCAGATCTTGCTTTTTTAAAAAATAGAAGTTCATTGTTTAATTTCTTAGCCCTTCCTGTTAAGGAGGCTTTTCTCGGATGGCACTCAAGGGAATTCAATGTGTTCAAAAGCAATTGGAGTGGCAGGGGAACAGTGAGCTGAGCCATTTGGAACGAGTCCTTGTCCAAACCGCACTAATACAGGCATGAACAGGGTGAAAAGTAGAAACAAAGAGGCAGCCCAGAGATGGAGCAGTGGACTGGCCACTGGGAAAAAGGCAAACTTTTATATTTCAGGCTGGGAGGCAAATCTGTCACAACAACCAAAGAGGGTAAAAGGTGGGAGCTAGCAGTTATTGTATTACTTTTGATACTCCAAACATCAACTCTTGTGCAAGGCCAGTTCCCAGATTCTTCCAACAATGCTTCACATTACCTTTCTCATTTTCATCTATGGTGCGAACCCAAATGACAGCCCTAATAAGCTGAACACAACAAAATAATACTATTTTGTGACCTGACAAGTATGTTGTTTTGCATGGTCATGGTATGGACTGCAGTCCAAAACAGGCACATTTCCAAGCCCTTTTTGAATTCTGGCATCAAATGAGCTCTGTTTTATGTATTGTCGAAGGCTTTCATGGCCAGAATCACTGAGTTGCTATGTGTGTTTCCGGGCTGTATGGAAAAGAGATTTAAAGATGGGCTCAAAGCCAACCTTAAAAACTCTGGCATAGACACTGAGAACTGGGAAGCCCTGGCCCTTGAGCGCTCCAGCTGGAGGTCAGCTGTGACCAGCAGTGCTGTAGAATTTGAAGAGGCATGAATGGAGGGCGAAAGAGGGGAACGTGCCAAGAGGAAGGTGCGTCAAGCCAACCCTGACTAGGACTGCCTTCCATCTGGAAACCGATGCCCTCACTACAGGAGAACATGAAGAATAGGTCTCCACAGTCACCTACGGACCCACCGCCAGTACACCGATCTTGGAAGACAATCCTATTCAGACAATGAGGGATCGCCTAAGTAAGTAAGAAAGTGTATGGCCATGTTCCAGAAGCATTTACTCTTGACATTTTGCCTGCATCTATGGCAGGCATCCTCAGAGGTTGTGCGGTCTGTTGGAAATATATATATTTATATATATAAACTACATTTTCCGAGTTTCCAACACACCTCACAATTTCTAAGGATGCCTGCCATAGATGCAGGCAAAATGTCAGGAGAGAATGATTCTGGAACATGGTCATACAGTCAGGAAAACTCACAAGCCAAGCTCTGCTTTGTCACACAGATGGACAGACAGTGTGCTGATTTGTTCCACAGAGTATATAAAGGCTTGAAGGAAGTCAGCCCTTCTGTTTGCGGCTGTTCAAATGCTGCTGATCTTGGAACAGATAGCATTTGGGATATGGCTACTCAGCTTGATTTTGCGGAGCTCTCATAAATATTTCTGATGCACAGGGAAATGTCCGATTAGGATTTATAGTTCTTATCTGAAGTGCTGATAATGTATGTATTTAATGGGGTTATATACATCTCTGCTATGAGGATCTTAATACTGGCCTGTAGACTGCTTCTCTAATGGAAAGTGAAAACAAAGGTGGAAAAGAATTTGTGCTGTACTTAAGGGAATAAGGTGCAGTTAAGTGGCTAGCTCAATGGTTCTCAACCTGTGGGTCCCCAGATGTTTTGGCCTACAACTCCCAGAAATCCCAGCCAGTTTACCAGCTGTTAGGATTTCTGGAAGTTGAAGGTCAAAACATATAGGGACCCACAGGTTGAGAACCACTGGGCTAGGCACACTATGGGTGCATCTACATTGTAGAATTAATACAGTTTAACTCCACTTTGGCAAAAATGCGACTGGAGTCCAGGAGTTATAGTTTTATAAGATCTGTAGCCTTCTCTGCCAAAGAGTGCTGGTTCCTCACCAAACTGTCAATCCCAGAATTCCATCGCATTGAACCATGGCAGTTCAAGTGCCATCAAACTGCATTAATTCTACAGTGTAAGTAAAGGTAAAGTCCAGTTGTGTCCAACTCAGGGAGCTGGTGCTCATCTCCATTTCTAAGCCGAAGAACCAACGTTGTCCATAGACACCTCTTAGGTCATGTGGCCAGCATGACTGCATGGAGTGCCGTTACCTTCTCACTGAAGCAGTACCTATTGATCTACTCATATTTGTATGTTTTCGAACTGCTAGGTTGGCAGAAGCTGGGGCTAACAGCGGGAGCTCACTCCACTCCCCGGATTCAAACCACCAACCTTGCAGTCAGCAAATTCAACAGCTAAGTGGTTTAACCCACTGCGCCACCAGTCTATGAACGCTTATGCTACTAACTTTGTTCTAAGATGCTACAAAACCCCTTTGCATACTGGATATCCCAGATTGATGCGGCTGTATCTTTGAATGACTGTGGGAGTTTTCACTGCTAACACCAACATCATGGGGCCCTTCCACACAGCCATATAATGCAGAATAACAAGACAGAAAATCCCACAATATCTGCTTTGAACTGGGTTATCTGAGTCCACACTGCCATATATCCCATTTCAAAGCAGATAGTGTGGGATTTTATTCAGCTGTGTGGA